GCTCAGCGGCCATGGCTCACGGGCCCAGCTGCTCCGCGACATGTGGGATCTTCCCGGACCGGGGCACGAACCCGTGTCCCGAACCCGTGTTCCCTGCATCGGCAGGCGGACTCTCAACCACTGTGCCACCAGGGAAGCCCCACACTCATTTTTGACACTTAGCACATGCTCACCGGGGTTAGTTTTAAATTCTTCTTTTTCTGTCTGGCTTATCTTCCCAAACAAATGGGAAACTTCTTGACAGCAGGGTCCATATCTTACCCCAGAGTGCTTTGTATGCACTAGATGCTCAATATATGTGTATTGGTGATGAATAGATAATTGTCTTGACCATTAAACTATCTGGTTGATTAACCAGTTTTTTTCCATTTTTCCACCAGTTTTTGAGCCTTCCTAGATTTTTTATACCCGACTCTAGAATTAGCAATAGATAGCTAACCTACCTTGTAACTAAAAACTAAAATACAGTTTAAAACCATTTCAACAATTAAGCAGTGTTCACATTATAATAAAATAAAACTACAAACTATTTAGTTATTGCGCTCCGGATTGGAAAGTCAGGAGTAATGAGGATTGTCAGTCTTAGTTATTCCAACTACGTGTACTAAAGATGGAAACCATTGCTGTTTTTAAGTCAAACCAAAACAGACTGGAATTTTGGAAAAGAATTTTATGAGTGATAATGGTTCCTTACATGAATAGAAACAGTTATAGCTTTTCAAAACATATGTACATTTTTTGTTTTTTTAATCCTTACTGAGACCTCTTCAAGAAGAACTAGTCTTTGATGAATGAGAATAATAATGTTAATAGTAATAACTAACACAAACTAGATTTTTACTATGCCAAACCTATTCTAGGATCTTTGTGTTTAATCCTCACAAAAATCTTGGTGTCATTACTGTTCCCATTTATAAATGAGGAAAGCGGAGGCACCTGACATATAACAGTTTCTGCAGAGGTGTAAAATTATAAAGAAATAATTCAATAAATCTATCACATGTTCATTTCTGCATTTTAACTATTAAACAGTCCAGTTTTTTTATCCTTCATTCTTTCCATTATCTTACTCTCTCTAGGTCAGCATTCAGCAAATTATTTGGGGGCCCCAAAACACTTACCTCACCAAAGAATACTATTTTTCACCCACAGACCACTCTGAAATATTGAGTCGAGTCTTATCATTATGTTAGAGTTAGGGGTGACGGGTTCCTAGGTAGTGTACGTGGGTTCACCCTGCCCCCGTTCCAGCTGCCTTTGTAGGGATTTCTGGTTTGTAACCACTTCCTGGTCAGGCTTCCTCTTCCCACCAAGAAGTGCTCTTCCCACTGTAAGCACCGAGCCTTCGGTTTTACTACAAGAAAGAAGACACAGAAGAGGAGGGAGTACAGGGGGCGGAGGCTCTTCATCAGAGTCATTTTCTTTCCTGTAAAAATTGTCTTTAACTAGTCAACTTGTAAAAATCACCTCCAAACTGTTGCCTCTGAGTTACTGGTGACTCAGCACACGTTGCCTTTCTTCCTCCTCACTCAGTGGGTTACATCATCATCTATGATTAATTTGAAATCAGTTCAGTGAATTATTCTGTCATGTAACAGACTTTTCCTGAAACATGCTATGTGATGGCACTATGCTAGGTGCTGTGAGAAAGAGATTTTTTTCTTGCCTGAGTTTTCCTGTTTATGGCATGTGGCTCTCTAGTGAGGGATAAATATAGTGTAACCATTTTACAGTATCCAAAAGTAGAAATAACAATTTCTATAACAATAACTATAACAATTCTAGGATTATAGGATTTACACAGGTTTATATACAGATATGGAGGCGGACCTCCTAACTGTCCAGGCACCTGTGAATTAGCTGACCTTCGTAGGCTCTTGGGTGTACATAGAGTATGGGTTATGATCAACAGCCTCTGAGGCTTCCACGTTAAGTCAGGCTTTAGTATTTTAGCTGCCCAGAGGGTGATGTGTTTTGCTTCCTGTCCTTTCCAGGCATACCCAGAGTATCTCATCACCTACCAGATCATGAAGCCGGAAGCTCCTTCACAGACCACGGCAGCTGCAGAGCAGAAGACCTAGTGAATGCCCACTGGTAAAGGCCAGATTGGATTTAAACCTGGGCCTGGATGACAGTGGATTGTTTTCAACAAAATCAATATTCTATAAATCCGTGACAGCCTAGAAATAAGCTGTTTGTCTTTTATAAAGCATTGCGATAGTGATGAATATAGTATGAGTAGCTGATACATACTCAACTGCTACTGTTCCCTTTGAGGAAATGTTTACAGGGGCGGCCTTTTAACATATCTCAGGCTCATTTTCATTGTAGTTATCCATTGCTAAGACAGGACTGCTTCAATCTAGACTTGGAAAAAAAGAAAACATAACCAGTACTTTCCCAAATGTTCACAATTCACACACTACATTTGCTTTGCTATATATGGCACGTGTATATAGTAAATATACACATATGACAGGTTCATTTTTCGTTTTTTCTGAACACTCATCATTCACTTTTTGTTGCTATCGTTGTTGTTGTTACTTTGAAAATGAGCCGAGCCTTCTTGAGGCTATTTTGCACAAAGTCACACTGACTAAAATCACTAGTGATGTAACCCAAGCTTCTGGCTGAGCAAGGCTTAGTTTCCACTTTTTTTTTTTTTTCCACTGATTTATTTTGTATCTGTACTTCTTATCAACGTAAACTGAGATGGAAAGGAAAAACACCACGTTTCAGTTTCCTTTTGTTGATTGGCCAGTCTTACAAGGGAAAGGCACAAACATCAACCTGATTTAGGAGCTCCCAAGTTCAGAGCAGTCGAAGCCAATGAGAGCCACTCGCACTTTCCAACTCAGGCCTGCCTCCGACGTGTTCAGGACGGTGCTGGAGGGCCAGGAAGAGCCCAGCCAGCGAGAGGCTTGAGTGATGCTGTTGTGACGTTCAGAGGGGAGACCGCCAGGGAGGCCTGTGAATCCAGGAGAAGCAGCATTACGACACATGAGGGGCCTGTGGTGCGATAATAGGACCGCAGAAAAGGACAACGAGGGCTCCTCACAGAAAACACGACTTCTCTCCACTTAACCCGCACCACCAGAATTGTCGCCCCCAAAATTAGCTGCCTTATTTCCAAATTCAGTGGAATTATTGTACTGCATTAGAGTCTCAAAACAATTACCTTATTGTTTCTCTAGTTTAGAAAGCTGGGATTCAAATCCTGTGTAGTCACTAGATAGGCACAGATGCAAGAACTTTTTTGTTTACTCCAGATTTGGGGTTTATTTTGAGTGAGTTGCTTCCGATAGTTTGTGTAGGTCCCTGCACTAAATTTTTGAACCATTTTCTCAAACTTCTTAGTAGACAAGGAGAACAAAAATGGAAGCCAAAGCTCTTTCAGTTATTTTTTAAATGAAAGTGGAGAAATAACCATACTGTTTCTTCCTGAAATCACTACTTTGTTTTGCTTTTTTTCTCAACATTTGTCAAGTGCACATTGTTACTTGTAAAAAATTATCCATTACAGTTCTCACGCTTGCCCTTTTCACCTTAACTGAATATTGAATTAAGTGCATTAACTAACTTACTTTGACATGCTATGCGTCTACTCAGCTTCGAAGCAAAAGTAATATAAATGTGATGGAAAAAAAGGAAAAACAGTGTGACGCAAACTTGCCATTTCAACTTAAAGTCCTGAAAACTAACTTGCTTGTCTGTTCTTTAATACAGGCTGATTAAGCTGTGACCTCATTTAATCTCCTGAGGAAAAATAAAATGGTTACATGCAAAGATTCTAGAATAGGCTCTTAAAATATACATTTTGCTTTCCTTTTGGCTTGAGTCCAATGCTAGAACTAGACATCGGGAACTAGTTTTGAGTTTTATAGCTGAATCTTGCATGGGTCCTCAAAATTAAATCAAGAATTAGCCTCAGTTGTTGCTTCTATTGAAGTTTTAGTGACCCAAGCTGGGTGTTTGTGTCTTGGCTACTTGTTTAATAGCACTAGAATTCCACATGAAGCTCTCAAGTTTGATATCCATTGAGGGCTTTTTTCCTCCCTTCCTTCTTTTTTGCTGTGTGTAACAGTGGGTTGAAGGAATTGGCCTCTGTGTAGTTTTCAGTAGCTGTGAAAGTGTATATTACTTGCCTCCCCAATTAGATATAGTTTAAAATGGTAAACACAGCTGTGATTTTTAGTTAAATAAAAGGGTTAATATGGTATAGATCCCAAAAGCTTTATAGCTTCATTAAAAAGATAAGCCACTACCCAACGGTGGTTATATGTTACTTCCATCATACTAACTAGATTAACGGATGTGCCAGTTTTAAACTTCAGCCTTACACTTGAGAAGGTAAACTGTGGTTCAGTATTTAAACCGCCAATGTTACGTATCTGATGTTCTGTGTGCCAAGTAAAGGTACTGTGTGTAAGGAGGACATTTGCTGTGCTTCTTGTCTCGTAGTGATTCAAGTATATAGTAGTTCTTGAAAGAATGTGTACATATTATTCATCTGCTGAAGAGAATGAGTTCATTGATGTCTCACAGGAGCCAAATACATTTTTTCAAAACTTGAAAACCAAAGGTCATCATGAGTGCATTCAAGTTAGCAAAAGTTGATTGCGTTTGGAATTTCCACCCATAGCAGTGTGAAAAACCCTTTGGAACTCAAAAGCATGGCTTTAAGTTAGGCTAAAATGCACTTAATTTCTTGTATACACACTGTATAGAAACACTAGCAAGTGAGGACTTCCAGTGTGGCCTCCCCTGAGTGGCCCCTCTGTTTCCCAAACCATATAGAAGAGAGAATCCAGACGCCTCCACCGGTTCCACCACAGGTCTGACATCAAAGGGCTTCTAGACCTGATGGCCCAGTTTGCTAGCTATTGGCATCAGTTAAGTGCTCTGGACTGGACACTTTCTCCTTGTACTTGGCCTCCTTCCCTTTTCCCCAGATTGCTAGTCTGGAATTATAATTAGCTCCAGCAATGACCTTTGACCCCTCTCATTTTCCTCCTTTCTCCATCTTGAGTCTTGCATATGGCGACCGTACCTCTGTATCCACTTCGCAACTAGAACTGGGTATTAAGCCTCATGTGCTCTGCTCAGAAGATTCTGCCACTTTGTCAACAAATGACAGCATGGAACCCAGAGTTTTAATTCTATGCAAAATAATAGCAGTACAACCAGGATTCTTCCTTACCTTTTCCTTCTTGGAATTTGGAATCTCTAGCTTTTCGGTAACATAAGTAGAATAAACAGTATTAGGATGTTTTTGTGAAATGGCACCCTTGTGCTCGTTTGAACTTGATGTTAGTGGCTACAGTAATTTCCCTTTGCTCTCAAAATAGCGAAGTGCATTGATATATGCAGAGAAATGCCTGAATGTGGCAAATAAAGTAATATAGATGAATATTCTATTATTATAGCCTTTATACAAAAAAAATAAACTTTTGGTGTATGCTGGAAGACAGCATTAGAATACAATGAGTTGTCTATGTTTTTCTGTATTTCAGTAAGTCTCCCACCTGCACAAATGTTATTGGCCACTGCTTACCCTCCCTTTTTTTTTTTTTAACATGTTTATTGGAGTATAATTGCTTTACGATGTTGTATTAGTTTCTGCTTTATAACAAAGTGAATCAGCTATACATATACATATATCCCCATATCCCCTCCCTCTTGCGTCTCCCTCCCACCCTCTCTATCCCACCCCTGTAGGTGGTCACACAGCACCGAGCTGATCTCCCTGTGCTATGTGGCTGCTTCCCACTAGCTAGCTATTTTACATTTGGTAGTGTATATATGTCAATGCTACTCTCTCACTTCATCCCAGCTTGCCCTCCCTTTTAAAACGTGTGCACCTTCTGGATTTCTGTAATTGCTTTCAAACAGAGATGGTATGTATTTTTAATCACCTTTCCCCCAGTGTGTCCAGATCCCATTTGTATGATAATCTGTGATAAACAGCCTTTTTTCTGTGTTTTCTGTTGGGCAGTTATCTTGCATAGAGCTATAGATTTTAGTCATTCAGGCAACACTCAAAACTGACATAAAGATAGGGTTTCATGTGTCAGAAATTTACTTAAAGACTGAAGTTAAACTTCTTTGTTGTCAGATCAGTGACAGAGAAATGAAAAGACACTGATTGTGAAGATAATATTTGCGCTTTGGCTGGACACGTCTAGCACATGAAAAGGAAATGCATTAAAAAAAAAAAAAAAAACACCCTAAAAAGTGAGGCTTCTTCAGATACTTTGTGAGTTCTGAAATTAATAGACACTCTTTCTTCTTGAGAAAGCCTTAAATATGGCAGAAACTTTTTAACCTTTTATATCCTAATAAATACAGAGTTGTAATTCCATTTCTCAGTGTGTGAAAGGTGTCACCGAGTTGGGTGTATCTCCATGTATCTCACACCTGGTAAGCGTACTTAATGAGAGTCTGTTTCATAAGTAAGCCTCCTTTACGTGCAAAGGAGCTGAGAGAATTGATCCATCCCAATTTCTCTACATCTGAACTTCCTCAGCTACCAAATCTTCTGGTTCAGAGAAATGCTAGAAAGATTTTGAAACCCATTAAGTTTTGTGTCTGTGGGGATTAGCAACAACTCATAAAGTGATACCATGTAGAATTTGGGTGTTGCACAAGCTGATTTTTAATCATTTTAAAATATAAACCACGGTGATAAGTGAAAAGCAGTAGGAAACTAAAGATTTTATATACTAAGACCAAACGTGCTCACGATGTGACTGGTTTTAAACGTCTGCCAGAGGGTTGTGCCTCCTTTGAAATAACGTTCACACAGTAGAGATGATTGCATTTTGACTCTTCATTCTTTCGTGTTTTCTTTTGCGATTTACACTGTCACATCTCCACGCGCAGCCCACCGCCCATCTTTTCAAACAGATTTCTCAGAGTGTTCGGTTATTTTTCATCTGTCGGCCCTTTTTTGCAGGCAGCCCTTGAAGCCCCTTGTTGATTCCTAGCATTTGCAGAGAAATGTAGTTAAACCCTGGTAGGGGGGTGTCTCTCCCACACTCCCAGGCCCCTCCCAAGGTTCAGGATGAAAAACTAGAGGACACAACCGTAAAAATTAGAAAAGAACCAAAATCTTTAAGGCTAATAGCCTAGACCTAGAAGATGACCTTGACTATATAACCATTGTATTCATTACACAGAATATTTAACTCTTCATGTGCATAGAATACCTGCCTCTGCTTTCACTGTGTCAAGCTCACCCTGTCTGTGTGGTAGTAGTATTTGTCTGATACCTACAAACTAAAAAGGTACTTTTATCAACAAGGTTTCTCAAACACATTACAAAACCAGCTTTGAGGAAATCTAGAGTGTTTCCTGGCAACAGCATTTGGAGTAGTAACTGTATTTTCTCATTGTGATGTTGGTCTGTTTACGTAACCAATGTAGTGACTCTTTGGTTCATCATTGGTGTTGTTTTCATTTGTAGTCTCTGTGTGTCCCACCAGTGGCAGGGGGTTCCAAGCCCCTTTCCTTTCCTTTTTGCATTTGTCTTTTTGTAGAATTGCCAGATAAAATACAAGACACCCAGTTAAATTTGAATTTCAAATAAACAAATAATTGTGTCTCTTAAGTATGGTTCATGCATTATTTGGCATATATTTACTGTAAAAAAAAAATTTATCTGAAATTGAAACTTAACTGAACATCCTAGGGTTTTTGGCTTTGCTTTGTTTTGTTTTACTGAATCTGGCAGCCCTATCGATTTGGTTGTGGAAAATCGCTTTCAGCATGTAAATTCTTCTAGATTTCACCATCTTTCACGTGGAATGGCACCTTTTTTCCCCTCACTCTCTACTTTCCAAAACATCAAGGAATTCAACCTGCCTGCATGGTGGGTTTCTATTTAAGGCATCTTTATGATTATATTTAACCAGTAACTGTGCTTTGGCTAAATGTCTAACTTACAGTACTTGTAATTGTTTAATATTCAATAAAAACATTTTTAAAGTTTACTGTATGTGGGTAGCAGTTAGCTCTGAAGCGTTTTCATTTGCCTGTTTGTTCCTTTCAACCTGACCAACCTTAACGCAACTGACCTAAAACTGTCGGAAAATACGAATAACAGCTCCCTCTCATCTTCCTAGTGAGACCTGTGTGAAGGGCCTTAACCTCACCTCTGAGCCCGCATGGGAGTCACTGAAATACAGCACTAGCAGGAGAAGCACAGCTGCCTTTTAGAAACATCTCCGCAGCGAATAACACCGACTCCCAGGGCAGCTTGAGGGGCAGCAAACTCCTATCCCTGCCCCCCTCCTCCTATCATACTGGGGAAGGGGGCAGGGAGCGGACTACCTGCCTGTGATGATACTGCCTTGGTTGTTGGGCCTCATGTTAGAGGCAGCACACCCTATTAACAACACTTGTAAACCTTTATCATTGGGCACAGTTCACTTTCCTATTACTTTATAATCATAAGACAGTACAGCGGGCCTCCAAGCTGAAGGAGGACCTGGCATTATATTGGGAATAATAAGAGGTCATCTGTTCCCATTGTTGGGACCTGGCTGCCAGATTTGCTGCTTGGCATCTACTCTGAAGACCTGGACCTAGAACGAGCAGAAGCGGAAGGGGGTGGTGTGTGACTTCATTTGACCATCCCCACCTGCCCTATAGGGCTAGTAAAACGTCTTTATGTAAGATAATGTGTAGGTGACATGTTCATTTTGTTAGTACGATTCTTGGCATACTTTACATAGCCAAGGACTGATTAGAAAAGTAAGTCTGTTCATCTCCACTTTCATAATTCTGCTCACAAATCAGGAGTACGTGATACAAAGCATAAGATAAATTAGGTGTTTGGGATTAACAGATACACACTACTATATATAAAATAGATAAACAAGGACCTACTGTATAGCACAGGGAGCTATATTCAATATCTTCTAATAACCTATAACGGAAAATAATCTGAAAAAGAATATATATCTGAATCACTTTGCTGTATACCTGAAACTAACACAACATTGTGAATTAACTATATTTCACTTTTTTTTTAATGGTTTAAAAAAAAAAAGATAACCATGCCATGGATGCAAATCTGCGGCCGTATGAAGAGGCTGGAGTTGTCAAGAAGCCATGGCTGCCGTGGGCCACTAAATTGCTTCACAGCTCCCAGGAAATTCTATGGGGACTCTGGTTCTCTACTTTTCTATCTACCAAGTAGGAATACTTTCTGCCAAAGAGTTATTTAATAGGAATATTTGGAAGATATTCAAGATAACACAAATCAAGTGCTCTTGGGGTCCTAGGAGAAAACAAGTTTAACAATGAGAGGCGTAGGCGACCATGTTAAGTGCAACAAGTTTGCTGAAAGACCGTGTAGGATGAAGATACCACCTCTGCCCTCAGACTGCCTAAGTTCATGGCCTGGCTCTGCCACTTACACACCATGTGACC